TCAATGGGAGCGGAGGGGAGGAGATCCATTTGCACTGTTACCTTAAAAGGTAGAGATACCCCAAATTCCAAAGACGCCTAAATTTGGAGAAGGTCCAGGGGTCTATTTGCACTGCTACCCAAGACCTTGGCAAACCTTCCGCGAAGTCAAAGAACCTCCTCCTATCAGCTCCCATTGACTCCCATTGACTCCCATTGACTCCCATTGCTTCATTGCTTCATTGCTTCATTGCTTCATTGCTTCATTGCTTCATTGCTTCATTGCTTCATTGCTGGTGTTGGAGTTGGGGTTGGGGTTGGATGTCGGAGTTGTATTAGTACTGGAATCTGAATGACACCCTTCGGTGCGAGTCTAGCGGCTGCCACTGTCAGGGACTCTTTTTCAACCAAACTTTGTCAATTGAGCATAACCCAAACTTGGGCCACCGTAGGAACATCAAAATGATATGCCGCTTGGTTGAGCCTGGCGTAACTAAAACCGATGAAGATCTCGCACCTCCGGGTGACTTCCTCGATCAGTTGGAGGAGATCAAAGATTTGATAGGCGCGGGGTTGGATGGTCTGGGTAGGTACCTACCTCTAGAGGTATAACATGACGAGGGCAAGAGCGACGGAGTTGCAATATCGAGCTGAGGCAACCCAAAACTCACCTTCCCCAGCCAATCGCAACAGCAGCCAAATTTCAATCAATACCTCTACACCTCACACTTTCCGAAATCCACCACCGCTGGACTTCTCACCAAGATTGGCAGTAAACACACCGACAAGTCCGAGAGTTTGGCAACAGCGTTTCCGCATACGACGTGTCCCAAACAGATCGAGTCCGCAGCTTTACTTTGGCCAGGAGAATGAACTTCTCAGGTCGCAGAGGATCGACCCCGCTGCCTGGACAACGCAGAAACACGCGATGAAGAGGCCGTCCGGGCTGTCCTCACCAAAATGACCACTGCTATTAGAGGCACCACCCAAGCAGCCTTCTACGGGATCATTCACTAGTGCTCTCTTAATCTCGCCTTCACCAGAATCTCCATCTTACTACTTTATCAGCCCATCTTCACCTACAGCTGGATAGAGCGGATGTGTCCCTCTCGCAACCCTCTGCCATGCCGGCTTTTTCCAGAGCGAAGCTACCACGGCAGCAGAAGACGGCCCTAGCTGATGTGTTTGGTTTGGGCTTTTGTCAGTCGAGAAACACCAACCAGCCTGCTCGTCCCCTTTCTCGGAGCTAAGTGCCGGTTATCATATTTAGCATGGCTCACTGTTTCCCGCTCGTTCAGCATTTGCATCGTCTCTGTCCTCCACCTCCTGGTTCCCATCGAAAACAACCGAAAGAACTTTACACCATCGCTCAAGACATATGAGCTGTTCGACTCGACATCCAACATGACGACACTCATGTTCTTGACGAGTGCAAAAGTCAATGCTGCCATCACTTGTGCATGTATCATGATTCTCAAGCCGCTTATTCAGCGATTTTTTCGGTCGGCTATTCTCCACCCTAAGCCATTACATCCACGACCACAGTCTCCTCTTGATGACCCCTATTACACGGCACCCACAGCAGAAACTTCCACAGTAGGCGAGGATCCAGGGACTCACTCACTCTCTCACACAACGACGGCGCCGCTCAAACCCCACCACAACGAGCCCGATGTCGAAGATGAAAGCAGGTGGAATGGGCGCCTTGTCGAGCGTGGACGAATACGACAACTATGACCGTCGCGTTTATGCTGGATTGTTCCGAATAGAAGCCGCGCTGTGAATATCCGACATCGAAGCTCGGGGGGCCGATGGTGGTGGTGGTGATGGTGGTGATAGTGGGAGCGGTATGTCGATCGCCTCGACGCAAGAGCGTGGGAACAGGGTAACCGCAAACCTGGACGAGACCGATACCAAGATTCATGTCAATGACAAGTACCTCCCTTGGTGGATCAGTGTCGCATCAACATTGAAACCTGTCGGATGGGGATGGCGGTGAAGATTTCCAGCTTCAAGCTCTGCCAACGGCCCATCTGCAATTGTCCATCCACGTGACAACGTCATTTACGTCACTCGGTCGCCGCTCAGTAACTCAGCCACCAGTTGCGACAAGCTTGACGATGCCGCTGGCATAGAGGATAACGGTAACCAGATTTTGGGCGAGCTCCATGGGGAACAGCCCCGGGAGGTGAAGATGGGGGCAGTTTTCCCCAGCTCTAGGCAATCTTCCGGCGGGGACCCAAGATGTGTGCCGTCTCGGGAAATTGCTAGAGAGAGTGCAATAGTTGCCAGGTCGAGACCTTGCAGAGAGACAGTCAACACCCGGTGGTCTCGGCCCCCCGAAAGTACTGGTGTTGTGTCCATGGCGTCGCCTGTGGATGAGCTTTGTTATACTGTCGACCAGCAACAGCAACGAGCTTGGCGCTTGAGACGGGGAGCGCAGACGAGTGAACAGGAGACTCGCGCGGCGGACGGGAACCGTTGATTGGCAAGGTTTTCGAGAACAGGGTCGCTCGGCTAAGCTAGGGCCTTAGATCTGCTTTTTTCCGCTCCGGATTCGGGCTCCCTGCCCTACTCGGCACCACATTCCCTTTTCTTTTTGTTTGTTGCTTCTAGCCCGAGCAAGAGGGTTGTCGTCGTTGTCGTTGTCGTCCAAAATAATTGAGTTGGTGTTTCGTGGGTTTGGAGATTGGCGTTATGATTCTTGGGAGAAGATACTATCTGCTCTGCTGCTGCTGTTGCTGCTGCTGCTGCTGCAAGGTCGGTGTGGAATCATCGGAGCCGCTGGACCAGGGGATCATCGGCCGGTGTCTGTTGCTCATATCTCTGATGTCATGATACCTCCTGCGAGTTCCAGTTCATCCGGTACAAAAGACTGTTTCATTGTGTAAGTGGCTGACGTCAGTCAGCTGCGTGGGTTGGAATTGTGCCCTTGGTCCACAACAGGAGGCGGCGCTGAGCATTGGAAGCCTTCCCACGGTTGAATCCCGCTCTGAGGTCGAAGAGTCGGTGTCGCTCCCTCAAGGACGAGCGGAGAAAAATGAAATCAAGGAGTCGAGAGGCCCAGTGTCCACCGGCGGACGATAGTTATGATACTCGTGCTCCTAGCGGGCCTGAAACGGCCTTCGAGGGCGCCTTCATGCTTCTTCAGCTTGGCCTCGTACATGCCAGCCTTTGCTATACCGAGAACGACAACGAATCTTGACCAGCGCTCACGGGTAACCAGTTGCTGGACCATAGGCGGCAATTGGGAGAGTAGCTCGTATGAGCAGGGTTTCTCCGACCGAGATCATGGAGGACAAATGGTACTGATGGGAAGAACGGCACGCCGGCATTACACCGTCACGACCGACAACCGGATTTCCAGCTTTCTTGCCGCAACACGTCGACAACACACCACTTTCCGCCATTGTATCCGAGATCCTTGATGACCGGCACGAAGTTGCCTTTTCCTTCGTCCGTGGCTCTCCACAAGAGTTGAAGATAAGAGGGTCTACTCCACATGTAGTGAATTATGAGCGGTTGTCACAGACATCCTTTGTCGCCGACAGGGTTGACAATGGCAGCGGAGTAGGTGAGAGCGGCTTTGTGCGGATTGGGCAAGCATCGACGGCGGATCTGGAAGGGGAGGCTCATAAGTCTGTGCAGCGGAAAGAGCGCAGAGTGGGATGCTGGGGTGTTCCTAATGGGAGGTCGCAGATTCATGGGGGGGTTTTCAAGGATTACAAGATTTCCTCACTCACTGTACCTGTACACCCCCGTCGGGTTTAAGCTTTCCATTCGGGGCTTTCTCCACGTTCCCTTGACCCCATCTGTTCCTCCCGCCCAGGTCAACCTCCCGCGCCAACGCATAACCGCCAACCGACCGCCAATGACAATTGAGAACGGCCAATCCCCCGGTTACGCACGCAAGTTACAATACGGGCTTCAGTACGGACGATACCGATAGAGCTGCTATGCGAACGAAATACAGCGCCAGGCGTGCCGCTGTAACTTGCAGTGCTCAGCAGATGACACCATGCTCGCCGGCTGCTCAGAAATCGGCTCATCGTCGACTCGTCAGTCGAGATCGTCGTCTCTGCCAAGACCTGGCTTACCCGTTGGTCGTACGCTATTAGCGTCGCACTTGTTGGTGCGCAGAATGTTCCATGTAATGGGGCGCAGAGTGTCGCGTGCTAGCCGTATCGGTGCCGGTTCACGCAATGCTACCTCGATATTGCCGGCTGCCCGCCAAGCGCACGGCCCAACGGACACAAGGAGGTTCGTTATTGCCGGGCAGTCTGGGCGTTCGTTGCCTCCTTTGCTTTGTTTACCTTGGATTCGGCTAAACCTGAAGAAAAGGGGGTTACACTTATCTTTTGGTCGCACACGACAGACCGCGCATTAACCTCAGGCAGAATGGAGATTCGAGAGAGGCCGCTGCGGAAGGAACAGTCGGCAAAGACTCACGCTTCACCGTCGACGGACCTTTGTACGCAAAAGAGAACCCCAAGCATCGTCGCCATGCACTTCAAAGATGCCCGTTAGGCAATATGGTCCACAGTCAACTGCTGGTGATCCAACAACCGCTGGATTTAGAATCAAAGGAAGGTCATCGAGGGTTATGTGTAAGCTTCTGCGACTCCGCGGGGTTTGATCACAGCTGATCACGGTAAGCAGGGTATGGCGCGAGTCATCACACCTCGATGGGGCCCACCGCCTCGGTCAAATTTGCTCCCTTGTTGTGGTGAAGCAAGAGATTTTGAACCCCCCTTTGGAGAAAAGCCTTCCTCCACGATCCTTTCACTTGCGCCCTCTTGTTGTGGGGGTTACGGGCCATCCGAAACAGATGACATTGGGGAAGGGAAAAATGGGATAGTCAAGTGAGCATTCGACACATGAAGCAGTCACCGTTGGGGGTTTGTGCTGTTCATGAACCACTTATACCGACTCCGAGAACCGTCAAGACCCGGATGCGTACGGGGCCGGTGCGCCGCGTCTGGACTTCACTTCATCTTGTGCACATTTTGTGCTCCTCAACCCCAGGTTTTTCTGTCCTCACCCTGCCGTGCTAATCCCGGACGAGACCTGGGCAGCTCCGGTTCTAAACAACTGGAATTCCACAGTCTCACTGGTAGCGTGAGAGTCAGGGTGTTCATCCAGAGTCAATAGCGTTCCTTATCCGTTCTCTCCTGAGCCTCGATTTCGGAACTCGAGTCTTGGTCCAACTTCCATGTTTGCCGTCCGTAGAGTTGCAAAACTCGCGGACGCGTACGCTTCACCACCATGAACATGCTCCTGAGGGAGTGACTTCATATCTCAACAAACAGGGATAGGGCCTTCCATTCTTGGTCTCGAATGTCGATGGGTGTACCTGGTGTTGGAACTCGACTCCACCACAGGAGCCACGAGATATCCACCGCTTTGGGGGGACTACTTTTTTAGGCCTGTCTCCCCAGTCCGGCTCACATACATTTGAAGGACCGCTTGCCTCGACCTTGGTCCAAGTTTGTCAGCCGTTGGTTCATCCTCTCTTCTCATACCACCCTAGCTCACCTCAGCTCAACCTCATACCGTCACGAACAGCTCTCACTTCTCGCTGGGCGCGACATAGTTCCTGAACCTCCCTCGACACTCGGCAGTTCGTCCAACATCGGCCAAAGTTCCCAATACGGGGGGACGCCTCTCTTCCATCCGTCATATAACAACACCCATCGGTTCCAAGCTTGTGAGAGCTGGTCGTCAAGCCGCCACAATGTCTCGCATTCAAAACCAGCCAAATACCGTCTGGATTCGCAATGGCAACGCCTACAGCCCTATCGAGACGATTGAAATCGTCGGCCGTCTGGGCACCTTCAAGGCCAACATGTTCCCCGCCAAGGTCTTTTGCTCAGCCGTGTCTGCCGGCTGTATAGCAGCCTTCGCCTCTGGTGCCACCCTTGTCGCCATTAATATTCCCTGGATGGCCGAGAACACTCCTGGTCTCGTCAAGACTCTCAGCTCCATTCTCTTCCCTTGCGCCTTGGTTATGATCTTTATGAGCGGTGCCGACTTGTTTACCGGTTCGACCATGGTATGTGACTTTGGGAGGGTGGATGTTGAAGATGCCAGGTTTTTCTGTTTCTCAGATGCTAACTTGATGTCCAACAGTTGACTGGTGTGGCTTGTCTTCAAGGCCGTATCCCCTGGCATAAGATGTTGCTGCACTGGTTCATCTGCTTCTGGGGTAATTTCGCCGGCTGTCTTTTTGTCATGGCGATTATCTTTGGTTGTAAGTTTTTGTCGTTTCTTTCTCCTTGTCCGACGACGGGAGTTATTGCCTTGGAGCAATGCTGATTGGTCTCTCTGTTTCCAGATGGCGGCTTGTTCACGGATCCTGCACAGGTAAAGGTGATCCAGAACCTCGTCTACAACAAGCAGGTTGTTCCCGAATGGCATCAGATCTTCATTCGCGCCATCGGCTGCAACTGGCTCGTGTGTCTCGCTGCCTATCTCGGTCTGGCCGGTCGGGATCTCATGTCCCGTGCCATGGGCATGTGGTGGCCTGTTTTCTGCTTTGCCATTCTCGGTCTCGACCACGTTGTCGTCAACATGTTCTACATTCCTTTTGGTATCTGGCACCACACCCCTGGCGTTACTGTGGGCCTGTACATCTGGAAGGGTATGTTTTCTTGGTTAGGACCCTTCGCAGGTGTAGAAGAAACTAACACTTTTTGACCACAGGCATCATTCCTTCACTCCTCGGCAACGTCATCGGCGGCGGCGGCTTCTGTGGAATGTTCTACTACTTTATGTACCTCCACAACCAGGACCCGGTTCCCATCGACGGCATCTACTTTCCTGCCGACTTGGCCAAGCTTGAAGAGGGTGGTGCGCTTCCCCAGTACGAGAGTGACGAATACGTCGTTACCACTCAGGAGCAAAAGAAGCAATGATTCTGACGTTTGTGCGGCGGTTAATATAGTTTAAGAGTTGGTTTTGGAAACGGCATGCATGGCGTACGATACCTGGTATGGTCTCATATCGGCGGATGAATTTGGGCACTCCTTTAGAGAAAGGGTTTTAGGCCACCCGCGCGCAAATGGGGACTGAAGCTTGTATACGAAGGAAGTCGTGCATTGCGGGAACCTCACTCCTCTCATTGCGGGATAAACGGCATAATGATGGAATCCGAATGTTGGTTACGGTAAACATTAGTGCATGAAGTCATACTCACAGAGTCCCTACCTAGGTACCTAGATAGGCAGCTAATGAATGAGTGACATGAACAACTGTTTAAGTCAACCTGTGAATCCGTCTGCTGGTGGTTCTTCGTTGTTCATCTTGATGTCTGAATCAAAGAAAACTCCTGCAGTGGGGGCATGGGCCATTGGCTGAAAAGAACCCTAACCCCCCTGTACAGGACACAGCTGGACCGTACTGTAATTTCAGGGGGATGGTCCGAGCTCAGACAGAGCCCAGGGGCAGAAACCCGTGAACTGCAGTGAAGTGAAAGTTTACACCACTGCACTGCACTTCACGATTTTAATCGTTGTACAGTCAAGTAAAAGTACACCAGCGTAAGGCCATCGTTGGTCTCGTCCGCTATAGTAAGCGGTCCGGAGATAAGGTAAGCTGGCTTGCGGTCCCGACCCGCTTCTGACGGAGTGTTCGAGATCACAAATCCGTCTGTCCGAGTGTTCCGGAAGTGGTCACGGGCCGGTCACTATCAGTCACGCAGTCTCCCAGGCATTCCCGTCGTCGCTCACCCACCCCCTCTGCGCCGTTCACTCCTTTTCATGTCAGCACTTTTGTTATTATTTCTCGCTCACGCCAACTCTAGAAGCTCTGTCGGCTCTTCCCGTCTTTAGTCCCGTGCGTTCGTCACCTACTGATAGTAAGTACCTCTAAAGAGTACAACTCGCCAAGGCTACCTCTAGATATACACTTACAACCTAAAAACGCTCTCTGAATTCCAACATGTTAGGACTGCGTGCGTAAATCCCGACCCCGGGCTTGATGAGTACGGGCAGATGTCCAGCACCGACGGCTTCCAGTCACTTGGTTTGGCGAACTGGGCGCGATGGGCTAGGACGGGAGGTGCCTTCCTTCCATCATTTGTGCGCGGCGGGCTTGGCAACTCGTTCCATCAAGAACAGCTCAGCTTGACCAACTGAACGCTTTGGTCTTTTAGCTGTTCCGGGTGAGTGCAGCTCTTGAGTGTACTGCAGTCTCAGTAGAGCACTCGTTCGCTCAATGACGCTTTCCGCACTGCACAGCACTGCATGCACTGGTTGTCGAGCTGAGCATGACAGAACATCATAACCTGGCCGCTTGAAGCACTACCGACTGCATCATAGGCCCCGGCCTGCTGCACTCACCTTCAGCATTGCACTACATGCCGCAGTTCCCGGCATCCGCGTTTGAATGGATTGGTGGCCGACGAACAGTAAACAATGCGATACTGGGTAGCCCCAACTGAAGCGTCACAATTCTCCTTCCGTCACTGGCAGTTCCAGGGACGAACCTTTCTTGTCTAGGTACCTATCCGACGTCAACGTCAGGCGGGTACGATACAACCTCGACCACCACCGCAGGGACGAGAACGGGGATTAGTTCCGTCGTGGCACTGCTTACCTACCTAGGTACCGAAGCGACCTCCCTTATGGTCCCGCCATCCGGGACAGATGCAGTGGATCGAGAACCGCTCCAGATCCCAAGTCGTCACGATTTAACGCGTCACAAAAGCGCGGGAGGTTCACGGACTACGGGCAAGGTCCGGGCCAGGACGGGATGAGCTTTCGTCACATTCAATGCAGACACATGTATCATTGAACCCTGGATTTTCTTTCAGCGCATGTGATCTCGCATGATGCTCAGCCGAGAAGGTTGAGGGAAAAAGTACCTTTAGGTAGTCGTTGTCTTGGACGTGAACGGCACTGTGACCCCAGAATCGAGTTGGAGAGATTCTAGAGCGGCATGCCACAAGCCGGATATTGCACTACCACCCGACTTCATCACGCATGGCACCATAGGATTGGACCCCTTGGGTTCTAACGTCTTTGGTCCTGCATATTGAATTTCCTGCAGCACAATAACGGCCCAGCGATTTTGCGTGTTCCAGTCACTGATAGACTCCCGTCTTGACTGGAAGTAAGGTAGTCTCGGGACCTTGTTATTGCCTGGGTTGTTTATTTAGTCCGGCCGTCCGTCCGTCCGACTGGACCCTGAAAATCCATTTGGGGGTTCAAACTTTTTGCCACTGCACAAATAGGTTTCCTTCGAACAACCTGCGTTTCAACAATGCGAGTTCTTATCGCCCTTTTACTTCATGGTGATGATTACCTCTAGCCCTACCCTTTGGCTGAGTGAAATGTCATTGTGCTTGGATGCTATGCTCCTACGACTACAGAGATTCACACAGTCTTGTGGCAGCTGCAAAAGCGTGAATTTTCCAAGATTCATAGCTGGGTTTTGTGCCGTGGAATATAGGTTGTCTTTGCTATGAATGAGAGTTCTTTCATCCCAAGTAGGTACCTTACCTACCTACTTACCACACAACTCCCGTGAAAGAACTTTACAAATTCGGCGTCTTTAGTTATTTAGCACTTGGGACCTAAATAGTTCGACCCTCTTTGCCGTCAGTAGTCTGGTTGCATAGTACCTCTACACCTATCTCTAGAGCTTGATATCAGTCACGGAACCCTTGCCTCCTATTTACTTAGTCCATTCCCCAATGAACAAAACCATTTCGCGGTATAATGCACCCCCGTCCGGTAAGGGACCTACCTACTAAGATACATATCCTAGTTGGTTGGTCGAACCGTTCAATCGCAACAGTATAGTCACCCCAAGCCTGGAAGCCAAGAAAAGAAGCGAACCCCAAATCCAATAGGTGGTCGACTATCCCAAACATTCAGTTGCATCTCTACCGTTACTTTATAGAACCTTACCTTGGTACCTACCAAACCTACATCGATTAAGGTAGTAGAGGTACCTAAACGAACTTTCGGGACATGGACATTAGAGTTGCAGTTCACCTAGGTATCTTCCAGTCTACTACCTCAACGTCGAACTCAACCAGTGAAAATAACGGAATCACATTCGACAGTTCAGTGCAGGGCACGGCACAGCTACCTATTTTTGGTAGAGGTAGAGGTAACCTTCCCGGCACATAGGGCGACTTGGGTTAACCTGTGGTTAATATATGGGACTTGGGGGACTACATGTGGTAATTGAACCGTTGGTCCAATCCCAGTGCCGGTGGCCCGAATTCGCGGGTAGCCCCAATATGGATAAATAGGGCCTAGAAGGTCCGTATCCAAAGTCTGGTTCAACACATCTTGGTTCTCTCTCTTTCTCTCTCCCTCTTTTCGCCTCTTGGTTTCTTTGGGTCTGATGTGGTAAGGTCCCCTCGGTTCCCGGAACATGAATGAGTGGCACTGCTACCAACAGGGCCCATCTAGCAATTTAATGACACCGGCAGGCGAATCAAACATAACCTTCCATTTACCTCAGATGCATTGCATTTAATTTGACCTACGTCCTTTATGTGGCGAACAAGGTCTACCACGTTCCGTCCGTTATACCGATGGTTGATCTAGACCCTTTTTGCAGGTGTTCAGTATCTGGGAAGGAGAGGGATGGTGAGAGGTATAAGCCAAGTCGCACCACGTTAGCAGTCTCTATAAGAAGGACATGAGAAACCCTGTTGTTCAGTTGCCGACTTCCCTCTTTTTGCTCACTGTCATCTATCATCATCATCGTTACTTGCAACAATACACAACACTCAAAATGGGTACCATCACCAGTACACTCACCAGCACCCTCCTCTTCCTCACCACCATCGCCCTCGCCGAGTCCCCAGCAGGGACCCCGCGCATCAACTCCATCAGCTACTCAGGCAGCGGATGCCCACAGACGCAGGCCCGGTTCAGTGGCAGCCTGGACGACCCGACCCTCACCTTCAACCACTTCGCCATCGAGTACCCTAACACGGTGAACCGGACAGCCAACTGCCAGGTGCACGTGCAGGCCCAGGGCGTGTCGGCCGGCTGGCAGGTTTCCGTCAAGGACACGTTCGTGGATGGCCACGTGACGCTGGACCCGGGCGCGACGCTGGATTACTTTTCGACTGTTTACTTTAGCTCTAGTGCGGATGATTCTGTAAGTCTTTGATTTCAGTTGTTGTTCTTGTTGTTGTTGTTGTTCGAGAATGAGCAAATAATTGTAAGGAAGAAAACGAGACTGATAGATGGCACGGGGGAAACAAAAAAAAACAGGCCACCAGCAAGGGACAACTCTCCAACGACGGCTCGTCTAGAATCGACAAGGCAGTGACCCTCCAGAACCACTTCACCGACAAGGCCTGGTCGTCGTGCACCACGTCCTCGAATGACGGGTTTGGGATTCTGAACATCAACTTCCGTGGTGCTCTGCGCAACGAAAAGTCGTACTTTGAGGCGACTAGCGAGACCTGGGACTTTGAGTGGAGGAGGTGCTGAGATGGTTGGTTAGGTAGTCGGGACTGATTGTCACGAGTCACATCTAATGTTTCGGCTTTGTCTTGAGGAGGCTTCGTCTGCCGGTGCTCGACAGCACGGCTTTCTTTTTCATGGCCATTTAGATTTCTTGTCACGATAGGGGGGGTGGCGTGGTAGATTGCAGGGAGGCTGGTCAAAAAGGTGCTTTCTCAAAAAGTAAAAAGAACTTTTGCTTGGGTTGAGTAGTCAAGGAACAATGGTTCAAGACTGAGACAAAGCTGTATGTTTCTGGGGTGCATTGTGTGCTTGTCCTCGACTGTGTGAAGCTGTCAGGTGGATGGCCTTCATATGTTGCGTGAGTCTGGGTTGTCTCTGCTCACACAGTTGTGATCGCAAGTCTTTCCCTGATGACAGAGAAGAACTCAGACGAAAAGGTAAAGTTGCTCTGACAGAAAGATAGGCGGGTGAAGATACTGGACTTCTTGAAAAGAGTACAACTTGTTCGTCTTGCTTTCCTCGATGAAGACCCACTTGGGAGTGATGGAACTGTCAGAGGCTAAGATGGTGACCCTAACGGAGGCCTCCATGTCACTCAATGTTGGAGCCACGGAGCAGTCGGGTCTACTACAATCAGAAACTGAAGTGAAGATGCTACACATGTGTAATTTAGGTTACAATCATAAAGCCTATTTTGATAATAGTGTAGCAGAAAGAATGCGGAGTGTCTTTAAATCCTCGTTATGCTGCATAACTGGGGCGGGATGGGTTTGATTTAGGATGGGGTCGTGCACACCACCGAAAGTTGACAATCTTTTGAGTACCGACAATTTGTAGCGACGGGATACCCAGATTGGCAACTGCAAAAGGCCATGTATCGGCTGGGCATGCGATGTGGCTTTCACACCGCAACTCTCGAGGCCAATGAGCGTAGAGATGATGGTGTAGTTGTAGAAATAGTTCATGGCATCCAAGTCATGGCGAAAAGTGAAGCTTGATGGTGGTCAGTGTCAAGCGAGTGGGCATCCCGCGCTCCTTGGGTTGAAATGGTGCGTAGAGGTATATTCCGACAAGTATTCCCCGCAAGGGATCGACTCTACCCTCGTGTTCATCGTGGTTACCATGTTGATCGATCTCCTCCGACGAGTAGACTGCTCAATGAAGAGCAGAGGCGCAGCTCATTGGCGTCGACCACGTGCCTCAGTGGAAGCGACGTCGTGATAAGAGTCCGTGGTCCAAGCTTCCTGCAGAAACTCGCCATTCAGTCCAGTAACTGCCTGTAAGGTAGGAGAGATCTGAATTCGATACTGAAACCTTCCTTCTCGGTGATCGTGCATTCAGCTTGCAGTGATGGCAGCAAGGTGGAATGCAGCCGCACTACGGCATGCGCAAAACCCAGAAGGTCAGGGGATCTTGGTGGTTTCTTTTTTTGTCCAGAGACATAACCATGTCCAGGTTTGGAACACCCGCCTATTGAGCATCGCCCTGCCGGCTTTGACTCAAGATAAAAAGAAAAAGAAGAATCCTTATCTCTTGTGTGAAACATGCGCCATTTTCAGACTGACTGTTTCGTCACTGTCATTGAACAATCGGTGCCACAGGCGGGTAGACAGCTCCGTTTGTCGAGACCAAGGGCTCGTGAGGGGTAGCTTCCACTGTAATTGCGCCCTTGCGCCCCCACCAACGGCATCAGAGTCGGAGGAATGGGCGCTCACCCACTGTGCAGAAGCCACGGTATTCTAAGCCCTCGGATCGAATATTGCACCGTCACACCGTGAACTCCTTTCACCTACCTCTAGTCGACTTATCCGCACTGCATCGGATGCCAGTTCATTGGCAGGGCCGGCAGGGTTCTCCAACCGTTGCAGGTGGCCAGCCATTGTGTGACAATCGGTGAAGGACTTGTGGGCATTGTGTATCGCCGTGATGGAAGACTGAACAGACCGAGGGCGACGGATGATGATGTGCATTTTAGCATGCCACCACCTGACGGTCAAAGATGATGGTAAGCCCTTGCCACGGGTTACCGGCTTTCTTCCATTCTGTCGACGGATTTTGAGCCTTGAGCCTCCTTGCATCACCAACGGGCTGGTTGCGTTTTCTCATGAGCCAGATATTGTCCATGATTCGCTCGCCTTATAATGGAGCGGTAGTTCTGTGAAACCCCAAGTTATGAGATGATCGGCAATGGAGGCGATTTCCAAGACGGCGTACATTGGCCCCCAGTCTCAAACCACTGCAGAAGCATGGAGCCAAGGAGCCTGTCCGTCACATCGATTCATAGGTACTTAGTATTGGGAGTGGGATTCCAAGGAAACCTTGCTCGGAAATGGCCCGAGTCGAAAGAAAGCGACAACAACGACAACTGAAAGGCAAGAAGGACTGAAAATTACAGTAGGTACAAGTTACTTCCACCTGTAGTGTCCATATTTGCTGGGGTCGGCTACAACCTTCTACAGTCTCGTCTCAAGAGGCAGTCGCAGCCACTGAAGAACTGGAATTCGCTTTCGACACCATTATCATTTTCGCGCGACATCCTCCTTTTTCAATCCTGGTTGTAGGTATTTCGGCCTTGGTCCTTTCTGTGACGGCTACCACCACCATCCATATTATACGGGCTGCACAACACCGTCATGCCCCCCCTCACCACAGCCTCAAGCGTCATCAAGAACCTCGCACCTGTCGCCTGTCATTGGACGAGAGTCCGGGCAGGCGTCACCTCCCACTCCGTCTGAATGCTGGAAACCGCACATATTTCTTTATCCGCCTTCACATGTGTTGCAAGGCAGTCACGGCAGAGACAGACCACGGTGGGCCGGCTAGCGGTTGGCCGTTGTGGACTTGCCCCCCTTCCAAAGACAAAGGTAGCCGCCGGTGACGGTGTCCGGAGTTTCGAAAGCCCATCTGTCTCGAGGATAAGGTACCTACCAACTGAACCTGTCAGAGCCTGGCTTCCCGTCGCAAATCGCAGGTGGAAACACGTTTCCGACGTGACACATTACGCTGTTCATTCTACATCTCAACGGTTTCATTGAGGGAACTGGCCGCGGCAGAGACCCGAGATCACGGTGATTACCTGCCGGTGGACGATGCTGCGCAATGTGGTACTCCCGATCGCTTCCCACCCTCGTCGATGGATTCCAGTGCACAGATTCCTGAGAGCGCACTGCAGATGTAGGATGCTGAGATGCTGATATGGTGCAATGGATGGGGGAAAGAGGTACGTAGTGTAGACAATTGACGGTGTTCAGTTTTCTACAGTACACCAAGTACCTTCTCCTGCCAATTTGGGCCAGCTTGCTGATCGGAGTCCGGAGTGCGGTGCAGTGACGACGGAGACCACTCGGAGTCGCCACTTTCTGTTCGCGCAGTAGGTTGGCTTGACTTCATGCTTGGCCAGCCTGTTTGCTCCAAAAGTGCTTTATCTGATCTGCCCCTCCATCCCTTCATCTGCCTTGTGCAGACGGTGTATAAAACTTGCCCCTCGCCATTTCAAGGTCATTGACCTCTTTCCGTCAAGTCATTCTTATTCCGTCGAGTGTTTCCGTCATCTTCACCACTTGCTGCAGAGGTTAGTTCTACGTCCCGACGATCATGATCCTTTCCCTACCCACCTGTCCTCCACAAACACCCCAAAGAACTGCACATAGGCTTTCTTGCCCACCGTTCTGAAGCCCCGGATGCCATCACGAGGTCTAGGGACCATAGCTTACGACTGTTCTTGGATTTCTAGTACCATTCATCATGGCCTCACCACCTATACCCATTCAGTCGTCCGGGCGACGTAGGGGGTCTGCCGCACGTAGGGAGTCTCGGGACTTCCATGAAACCATCTTCGACACAGTATCCCTTCTCGGAACCTCGTACCTGTCCACCGCACCAATCGCCCAAGAGATCCTCGCCAGGGATTTAGCAGAGTTGGAGGATGACGAGCAACATGAACGAGACGAGGAATGCCGCTCCGATAATGAGGAAGATGTCGAACCGCCTATCGACGTCGGGTCTCTACCCGTTGGTCATCTCGTCTCACGGCCTGGTGGTGTCGCTTATGGCACCCTCAGACCCATCATCGCCAGCGAAATGCAAGGTAGTCCGATTGTTTGCGAGACCGATGTTGTCGAATCGCGCGCCGCAGAACGCAGTCTTCTTCGCGATAACCATCTGCTCCCACCCAAGCATCCTCGGTCACCCGACGATCCTCTATGGAAAAAATTGTACCGTCGTCTGTTTAGCACCAAGGTCCCTGTCTCAGACAAGGCCTTCGAGGAGACACCGCTTCTTCAGGAGTATCCTTTGCCGCCATCGCCAACCATCAGCGAGGAGATCAATCAGTGGGAACGAGCTGTTGCTCAGAACATGCTCAAGACAACCTGGCAACGTGAGGCCCAGACAATTACCAAGTACTCGCGATCACTGATTGTGACTTTCCTGCTGCACTACTCGGTCACCGTGACCAGTGTCTTTACAGTCGGACGAATTGGGCGCTTGGAGCTCGGAGCAGTCAGTCTTGCTACCATGACGGCCAACATCACATGTTACGCTCCAGTTCAGGGGCTTTCGACATGCTTGGATACGCTCTGCGCCCAGGCATTTGGTTCTGGTCACAAGAAGCTGGTCGGTCTTCAGCTACAGAGAATGACTTATCTTTTGTGGCTCCTGCTCCTGCCCATTGCAACGCTGTGGTGGTTCTCGGGTGGCGTGTTGAACCGCATTATCCCCGATCCGGATACCGCAGCACTGGCCGGCATGTATCTTCGAGTCCTCATTCTTGGAACTCCCGGAGTGGCGGCGTTTGAGAGCGGCAAGCGTTTCGTCCAAGCCCAAGGTCTCTTCCACGCCACCACATTCGTTCTGCTTATTGGTGCACCACTGAACGTGCTGGCCAACTGGTTTTTCGTTTGGAGAATGGGATGGGGATTCACGGGTGCCGCAAGCGCTGTCGTTTTTACGCAGAACCTTTTGCCGTTCCTTCTCTTCCTCTATGTCTGCTTCATCCAGGGTATGGAGTGTTGGAACGGACTGAGTCGACATGCGTTCAGTAACTGGGGTAAGTAAACACTCATCTGATGTGCGCAGAAGACAACTTGCTGATATCCAAACTAGGTCCTATGATCCGACTGGCTTTGCCTGGCATGATTATGGTTGAAGCTCAATACTTTGCTTTTGAAGTTCTCACACTTGCCGCCAGTCAATTCGGCAGTGCCCATCTGGCTGCGCAGAGCGTCCTCGTCACGGTCACATCGACGACGTTCAATATTCCTTTCCCACTCTCTATTGCTGCGTCCACGCGTGTGGCTAACCTCATTGGCGCCAAACTGAGTGACGCTGCGCGTACCAGTGCCAAAGTGGTATGTTCCGAATTCTTAAGGTCAAATTAACGGTTTGGTACGCAAAAACGCTGACTTGCACAAACTGTCCAGGCACTGTGCTGCGGTATTGTTGTTGGTCTGTTCAACATGACACTACTCAGCAGTTTGAGGTTCAAGATTCCGTATCTTTTCACCAAGGATGAAGAAGTGGCTGCTATCGTGTCCAAGGTTCTACCAATCTGCGCAGTGTTGCAATTGGTAGATGCTCTGGCGGCCATATCCCACGGTCTGCTCAGAGGCATTGGCAGACAAGGAATTGGCGGTTTCACCAATCTCTTCTCGTACTACCTGATTGCCCTGCCCATTTCGTTCTCGACTGGATGGGCTCTGGGATGGCAACTGCAAGGACTCTGGTTTGGAGTTGCAATTGGTCTGGCTGTGTAAGTGGTGACCCATTTCTTCCCAGTGGTTATCTTTTAGCGGATGATTTGCAGTGCATTAGGGCCGAAACGCATGCTGACGTTAGGTTTGTGCTTGTCTAGGGTATCCACAGTTGAGCTCTGGTATCTCCACCAGGCCGATTGGGAGCACGCCGTTCAAGAAGCCGAAAACCGGCTGAGGTCTGATGAAGCTTGTCATCAAAGTCAGCGTAGGGAGTCTAAGTAATGCCTTGGCTGCGGCTGAGGCTGGTGAGCATCAAGATGACGGAAGTAGAAATAACCGAAACGAAACGAAGACGAGAAGAACAGAAACAGAGAACGAGGTGTCTGGGTGCGCAAAAGGGAGGTTGCATTGTCCCGTGTTTGATGGTTTGCGTACTTTGCATGAACCACATAGCCGCTGTGTGGCACAGCTTTGAAAGCATGATATTACGGAGTTTTGGTTCTCACGGTGTCCAGTCAGCATGTATTGCATGTTATATTAGGTTAGTGTAGACGCTCGAGTTGTTGAGAGGGTCGCGTCATATAGAGATTTGACAACAAAAGTTGTTATCATTCAAACCTACTTACGACCGTTCAAGTTGTCTCGGGTAAGTGACCGCGACTCTGATCTGTGTTCTGTCTCAAAGGAAATTCCTTCGCCGCATTTTAGAATGTCTTGGCCACAGAAACTGCTGGACGTTGTACAGATACATCGACGTTGAAGTTCCCGGCCCCTTAAACGAGCGGGACACACCCAGATATCTTGGCCATACGTCATCAAACAGTTCAGTGGGGGTACCTGCCTAGGTGACTACTCCTGTTCGCGCCGCGGCCGCGCGTATACTGCAGTGTACTATACGTACATCGCGAAGTGTACTAATGTGCTTGTCTGGCACGATAATCCTGTACCGCAACGTCGCGCAGTGGTGCAATGTAGAACTTCTTGCTAGTTAATACAAGGAAAGGACATTAGTTCCATGTGCCCACTTGAAGTTATTTGGAATTAAAAGGGGTCAGGCCAACGGTCAGCCTAGGACATACGATCCGAAGCCAATGTCGTCGGTGCGGTCTGGTCTTTGACATGACGACGGGACGGGATGTTCGGCTAACGAGGATAACGAACGTATGGCTCTGCGCGAAATCGTAAGAGCCTAGGGCTCTCGCTCGTGAGAGATATCGTATGTACACACTACTACTCGTCTGAGTCTCGCGGTATAAATCGCCCTTGAGCGACAGAAGGATGGCTAGGTCCCTGGGAGGGTTCGTGGGGTCTGGTGGGTCTAGCGGGTCTAGCGGGTCTGGTGGGTTAGTTTTCGTGCGAAACGCGGCCGAGGTGGAGGTTAGAGGCAATCGATTCTTGTTAGGGCGTGTTTGGCTATTCTGAAATTGGGCTCTGAAGTGTTCAGAGCCGTTTTTTCAGAGCCGTGTTTGGAAACACCCAGAAATTTTTAGCTCTGAAATCCCCCCCAAAAATCCATTCTGAAATTTGTTGCTCCACTTCATCAAAACAACCAATGAAATTGCGTGCATACTCTGAAATTCAGAATAATCGATTCTAAACTATTCAAAATCGAGAAAGCTACCCGTGGGTGTGAGGCTGGCTTGTGAGGAAGGCTGGCCAAGCTACACCCACTCTCTTGCAGAGAGTGGGCCACTAAATGCTGGGACAGCACTTTAATATAGGACAGCCAAATTGCATAGGATAAGCTAAGAAAAGTATTAGTCTAAATAGTTAGTAGCAAGAGACAACACTACAACCAAAGGAATTTCAGAGATGAAAATAAAAAGAAATCATTTATAGTTCAACAAAGACAATAGAATTTTACGAAATTTTTCCGAAGCAAATGAATTGGTAGACATTGAAACCCATACTTTTTTCTTAGCATTCCAATGTTAGACAATGCATCCTAAATGATGAAGTTCCTGTCCTCTTTGGTGAAGTTTCCGTCTTCTTTATAAACAGCACTACTATAAGGTATCGGATTTTCCTAAAAAGCTTCCAAAATCTTACTCATACTTCCTCAAAGCTCTCACTCAAGTTACATCTTTCAAATTTCTTTTGTTGTAGCACTACAACTTTTTCTACTTTTTTCCCATACAATTTGGCTTGTCCTATGTTAAAGTGCTATCCTAGCATTTAGTGGCCCACTCTCTACAAGAGAGTGGGTGTAGCTTGGCCAGCCTTCCTGACACAAGCCAACCTCACACCCACGGGTACTGAAGTGACATTCTGAAATCAGATTTCACACTTTCAAGCACCACGTGACTACCCTCATCATCAACAAAAAACAACAAAATCAAACTACTATACCTGCCAAGTATTGCATCGTTATAATATATTATCGTTATATATAAAAGACATTGATGATAGTTTCTTTTCTTTTTAACCCTAACCCTAAAAAGGTAGAATACTAGAATTCAGAATCAGATTTCACCAAACGGGACTCTGAAATGCTGTTCTGAACAGGAACAGGGTGGAGCTCACAATCTTGGCATTTGCTGCCAAATTCCGGTTCAGGAGGGTTCGTGCTGTTCTTCTGAAAACCACTTCAGAGAATCCATTTCAGAGCCCAATTTCAGAATAGCCAAACACGCCCTTAACAGTTAGATTGGTATGAGCGAGCTACAGTGACTAAGGTAGATAGGTAGGTTGTCTTGGGCGCTAGTTTACTCACTGTACCTGGAGGTGATTTAGGAGCCCGCTTGGTAAGATAAGGTAGGTACTTTGGTCCGCTAGCCAGCCGACTTAAAAAGGGTGGTTGTCGTGCATCCGAAGTCGGCGATGACCAGCCAGACCCGTCTTAAGTAAAACTTGGGAAGTGTTAAGGCGCTTCACGACCACTCGAATCATTTGAACTTGTTCGTAGCGTAAGGTACCTACATAGCTTTTGGCATGTTCGTCTTCGAAGGGAGTGGCGTTTGTAGTTTTGTTTTGTAAACATGTTGATGTGATTGTGAGCGGCGGGAACTAGGAGGTGGTGGTGCAGGTAGTAGAGGTAGGTAGGTATGTAGGACGAACTGTGGATCTTTTCCCTTCTCGCTGTTATGTACCACAGTACATCTCCGGGCACCCGAAGGGCCCTTCCCCCCGGGGAGGAAGCTCGGAGGCGCCAAAGGATGCCCCTGGATAAGGAACTCCCGTCGCTTACACCTTTCTATTCGCACGCCATAAAATCACTGTACAATTCCTTATTTCGGAGTCAGCAAGTATGGAAAATCTAGTGTAGATGTATGCTCTCTTCTATTATTGACTACCAGTGTAGGGTATAAAATATTGGGGGAATCTCTTAAAACAAAACGAAGAAAAAAACAAAGAAATCTACATCAACTTCAGTCCCATGGCTCGTCCAACATCAAGTATCCCGTAAACAACTGAAACACATTACCAAGTAAACAAAAAAACATAAACCCATAAAATCATGCATGCTTCTTCTTCTGCTTCAACACCCAACAAAGTTTTGACTCCTCGCAGTAAACGCCGAAAAACAAGGGGGATATCTGATCGCGGATGACGCCGTGGATGTTGATGGTGATGGTTGTGTATGTGTACCTCTATGTACCTCTATGATTGTGTGTGGTAAAACAACCCCTGATTTTTGAAATGGAGAGGATCTTTTTTGGCGACTTGACCGTGAAGGAGAAGATGGATTGGTCCTCCTTTTTTCTTTCTTGTCTCCTTCACTCTGCGTTGGTATTGCGCAATTGCTACTTCATGTAGCGAAGCGAGTGATTCGGATCAATCCCTCATAAAGACCGATCCATTTGTGTAAAAAACGATTGAACCGTTGCTTAGGTAGGTAGACAGACCGCTTAAGGGTTGCTAACATAAGACCTCGCCCTCTCCAACGCCAACGAATCACGAACAAGCGGCGCATTCGGATCGACAACGTCTTTCTGGTTCTCAATATCCGAAGTTTGCGAGCCATCCACGTCATCGCCGCCAAAAGCGTACTTGGATCTCTGGCGGATGCGAGCACCAAACTTCCAGAAACCAAAGGGGATTAGACAGCACAGCAAACCCAAAAAGGCCAAGAAGGTCGAGGCCCACTGGTCGCCCATGCGGTGGTACATTTGCTCCGTGAACAAGACGGTGCCGGCACCCCAGAAGGAACGAATAAAGGTCTTGGCGGCAAGCGCCGAGGCAGCCTGGTGCTGGTACGAGTCGACGAGGTAGTTGTTGGCCGAGTTGTAGAGGAAGATGAAACCAAACCCAATGGGGAAGCCGGCGAGGCAGGGGCCGACCCAGATCAGGCGCGGGTACGAGGTCCAGGCGAAGATGAAGAGGCCGATGGGGATGAACCAGCACGAGACCATCATGGGGATCAGACGAATCTCGGCGGGGGGCTTGCCGTTGTATTTCTGGACTTGCTTGAGGTAGTGCTTGTTAACCAAGGGGGCGCAAAGCGCAGAGCAGATGACGCCGACGGCGAGCGGGATAAACATAAGGCCCGTCTGGCCGTGCGAGTAGCCCTTGCCTCCCTCAAAGACGACGGGGTAGGCGACGAAGAACATGTACAGCAGGCCGTAGAGGACGGACATGTAGAGCGAGATGAGTAGCACGATGAGCTCGCGGAACAAGAGCTGGAAGGGCCGAATCAGGAAGACGCTCATGCGCTCCGAGAAGGGACGCTGGTCCAGATCGCCCTCGGACACGTACGAGTTGTCACCTGTCTGTTTGCGGAGTTTCGCGGCCCGGCGTCCGAGGATAGTGGGGGCGTAGGTTTCCTTGACGGTAAAGGAAATGAGGACCCAGACGACGAAGGCCAGGATGAGCTGGATCCAGTAGAGCCAGCGCCAGCCAGCGAGACAGAGCCAACCACCGACGAGAGGACCAACTGAGGATTACCAAGTCAGTATTTGCTACCATACTAGAGATAGGTATTCGAGGACAGTGGACAAAAGGGATTCATAGTACGGAAACCTACTAGCAGGACCAATGAAAGGAGCAGCAGAGAAGGCAGCCATGGGCACACCACGCTCCTCATTCCTCCACAAATCGGCAAGAGTACCACCGACCAGGGTCATGGGCGCGGAAAAGGCAATACCGTCGATTAAGCGACAGACAATGAGTGTGCCGATATTCTTGGAAACGGCGCAAGGAATGATAAAGACGACGGCGAGGAGAAGCGTTGTGCCATAGATGATCTGTCTTCCATAGACTTCGGAAAGCGGAGCGAAAACCATCGGACCTGTGTCATAGCATGTTAGATCTCGGAGGATAACCGAAATGGTTCCATGTTTTCTTCTTCCCAGGTGGAGAAACTTACCAACACCGAAACCAACGACGAAGACGGTAATAGGGAGGAGAGCAGCCTCGTGGCTGATGCCGAACTCGTGAGCTACACTGTCGACATCGGCAGTGATGACGGAGGAACAAAAGGCGACGACGAAACAGGTGATGGCGACCACCATGGTACAGTACCACTTGTACCCTTTCGACCAGTTTTTTGGGTTTCCAGGGTCTCCTTCCGCAAATGTGACGAGCTTGTAGTCCTGTTGTGTCTCTCCTCCTTCGGGGATCTTTTCCTTGGGCGGTTGTGGCGCCCCAGCCGCCGTGGGCGCTGCTTGCGTTGTCGCCATGGCGATGTCTTGTGGTGTTGGTGCTACTATAACAAAAGCTTGTTGTTGAATGAAAGAGGGCTAGACTGTTGTCGACAACGGTCGTATTGTTGGTGATTAAGATATCCGGCTCGGCTCAGGGGTAAATCGATCGATCCGGTTGGTGGTTTACCATGCAACGGGGTGTAAACACTGGAAAATCTGAGAGAGACTGAAAGAGAAAATGAAAGATGACCCCCACTGGACGGTCAATCTGTGTTGATTATCTGCTATAGAGTAGCGAGGACCACTTTCGTCCGGGGAAGGGCCCGTCCGTAATATTATATGTTTTCCATCTCCCTAGATATTCTCATCGTCTATCGCGTACCGTCCTCGCCCTTGGTTCGGGCTTACTCGGTAATCTGCATGATGTGGAATCTCACTACCACCCTTGCGTAGATCATAAACAAAAGAGCCTCGTGCTCTCGCCGTCGTGGTTATACGGCAGGTACGTACTGTCTGCTGCGTAGGGGTAGGTGTAGGTACTTCTGTATTGTACCATCACGGACTCGCTTCTTACAGCGAGCATATCTCGCGGTACGTCGTTGACGCCCTACGGCGTGACCCAGAACTAACCAATGAAAGTGCCCAATGGGCTGAGATAGGTGCTGTCGCCATTGCGGCGGACAGTCCTTCCTGATGGTCATCGCCATGTCCCTGGTGGCGACGGTGGGCCCCTTGAAACAAAGACTTTGGGAACAGTCATCCCAATCGAGTCAAAATCGTCATGCAGCCAGCTGCCACAATCATGAGGATTGCCAAGAAGAGATTGCTGGTGTCGAACTCTTGTGCAGGTCATTCCACGTTTGCTGGAACCGGCCGAGTTCGGCCCCAGTTTTACAGGCGGGAAAGGAAGTGATTGGCCGGGAGGCTCGGCATCGCGAAGTTCTCAAAGACGCGACGAACTCGTTCGCCCCTTTGAACCCTCGACCTGTTTTAATACTCCAGTGTCACCGCAATGGCCAGAACTGGCGATGAATCCCAATTGTACGTATCCTGATCGATACCCAACTGAACAGAGGAAGTAGGTTCTTGCTTGGAATCCGTGATGCCTTTATCACTCGATTCAGCATCATCGGATTGTCGGATTTTCGAGCTTCTTCTCCTCTCGGTTCACTGTTGATAGGGGAACTTTCGTTTCGAATAGTGGCATCCCACGAGGAAGTGGACGCTTGACCGTGAGAGGGGATACTTTCTCACCAAACCTCAAGGCCCACTAGGTCATTGCTCCCATGATACAGTGAGAGGTGAAATCGGTGAAAGAGGTTTCAGGGGAGGTGATGAGGACGGTAAAGCAGCGTTCTCTCGCGCCTCCTTAGCGGCTGCTTCAGATGTATACAGTTCCATCCGGACTGCATACCCGCCAATAGCTTCGGCGTTCGCAACAAATGACTTCGGAGTTGGCCCCTCCATCAACTCCATATTTGCGCGTCTAATTTGGCTGGTGCTCAATGTCAACCGCTGGGATTATGCCTACACACTCAAAGGCTTGTCGACCGACGTTGTTGATTGTTTCCTTGGCTTTTTATTTTTGTTTTTGGATGGCCGGCATGGTCGGAACTTGCCTTGCTGCATCTGGCCATGGTAAGAAGCCCCATCCGGGAGACGGAGAGACCACTGGCGAGTCCCGGATGTGCCGCTTTGGCCCGCTTGGCATAAGGCCGCTTTGCCCTGTGACCTCACCCCTGCGGCCTTGTTACCGTTCCGCTTGTCGAATCCGGGCCCGACCCTCCGATCCACTCGACCCGAAGAGCGACCAAGACCGGATTGCGGCTCCGGACGACGAATGCTAACGAGGATTTGCAGCGGGAAGCGTTTCGGTAAGGATCCGTACTGTGTCATAGGGCTGTGTACATAATACCTACACGACGACGGATTGGCCTGCTGCTGTGTTATTGATTGCGGCCGCTTGGTAGGTAAAGGAGAGTGTAGCTCGGTGATACTCTGCTGTTCAGCGAGATGCTGCTGCTCTGTGAATTCGCACCCCTGAACTCACGAATTTTATGGCTCATCATGCTGAATAGATGAGGAGTAGGAATACCGCTGAGACGCCACCACCAACGGCGAAACATCTGGTGGGATACATGCAATCGCAGTGCTTTGTGTTACAGTCTTTTTGTTTGATCGAATCTAGCTCGGCGCTTCATTCTGTGAGCCTTTGTGTCAAGATGTGAATCTTTTTGGTCGTATAGTCGCAACGGTTCAGTTGACTGAAGACCTTGCCTATGACAATTCCAAATGTGCGCCGTGATCGATAAAGCGAGGTCACGGACGAGTCATTACGTAAGGCCCCGGTGGGGCGAGCCGGGGTCCTTGCATTTTCCAAAATTTAAAAAAAAAAAAAAAAAAAAAAAAAAAAAAAAAAAATCCGACTTCGCGACAGCGAGTGGATCCGAGCTACACAGTAGTGCCGAGCAACTTCCCTTGCGGTTGCCCAATGGTTTAAAGGTACGTACACTAGTGTTGTGTGGCATGTGTTTGCGGTCACGTGATCCGGCCAATAACTTGCACCCTGTCCCCTCTAGCACTGGCTACGGGTTCTCTACAGTAGCACTGGAGTTCATGATCTTTTCCCAGTGTCCAAGCCGACACTCGAATCTCGCAAGACGGTCACAGGGCAACAACTGTGACAGATCACTATCAGATGAAAACCAGATCTTACACACTCTCGGAATGTACATTGAAGACCCAACGACACAACATTCCGATGTTTTCGATATTCCGTAACACTCGAGCACGGCGGTGAACACCTTCGCAATTGCGCTGCGGCCCTTTTCTCTCGCTTCTCTCCGACGCGACCAAGCGAACCAGCAATATCCATCGAGATCATTCAATAAAACTGTTTTCACGGCCCACTGACATTCCACTTTGACTTCAACACATTGGCTGCTCGTTTCGGAACAGTCTCGTTCGATCGGCTGGCCGCTGGTTTGTCCTCGACCGACTTTGCGCGAATACTCGACCCACGCGACTGGATAGACCCTGTCACTTCAACGGTGTCACTTCGTTGGCAGCTCGGCTTGGGCTTGAGTTTTGGTTATCCTCGGGCCGTCGCGCCCACGGGCTGACGCAACTAATTGATAGCGAACTTGGCAGTTCACGAGCGCCAAGCTCGCTGTCGCTCACAACAGTTCGTTGGAGGTTCTTTTTCGCTTCGGTACGTGCCTCCACAGTTCAGCCTCCCAGTCTGTGTCTCTACTGAGCACTATGGGGATGCTTCAACGAAAGCTCTCAGAAAATGCCTCCTCTCGGTTTCTTTGAGTTTAGGGTCCAAAGGGTTATGAAAAGAACAATATAGCAAAGTTGCTGGATCATTGACGGCGCTGCTCCGTGGCAAATGGTTCTCCGACACTCAGTATTAACGCTGTGTACTTTTCATGAGCTGGAGTTGTAGTCATCTGTCAGTGCCTCGCTGGTTCCAACATTACGACACTAAAGACGGGCAGTATCAGTTCACCAAATTCGCAACCTGAAACCAGCCGAACGAGCTGGACAGTCATGGCTCCAAATCACCTCACTTTGCAGTAAAGTCACTTTCGTATTGCCATGACTCCATGTCTGCCAAGGTCGACGACTTCCATACACAGTGTGATCTGCTATGGATCTATACTTCACGATGTGAGGGATCAAGGCCCTAAAACAAAAGATGTGGACCTTCGGAAGAACGAAGCGAAAATCCACCTCACATGCAGGTTTCGTGGGTTGCGGCTCTGCGAAACGACATGGGTTCTGAAAACTCGATAGGGTGCAGGATCCATACCTTATCGATACGTAAGTCCCTTCGAGGAAAATCAACACCAGAAGTCACATATTGTCAACATTGGCGGAGGTTATAGTGTCAGTAACGGATTGGCACCAACATCAACACTAAGGATCTCGCTCGCCATGAGGTCGCGGGTGTACAGGACGAGCTTCAAATGCTCAGGTGTTTTGAGAGGACACAGAAGGTGTGAACATCAAGCTTAAGTCTGAAATTACCTCCAGGTTTGATTTAACACACGCTATATCATGCTAGACAACACATCGCCCAGTTGTTAGAGGTCTTTGGGAGTCCATTTTGGAAGATTCTCTCATCACCAAGGAGATAAGCTCCTGCATTCATCTTGCAACATCTCTCATTTCCGGCTCCAAGATAACCTTACCTCTACCCCCAACGTGGATTAACAATGCACAGGACGATAGATCCCCCACGCGTTTAAGCTGACCGGATGTGACGGGACGATCCGGCACACTTAGTTGCGGTACTAGCAGGTCTCATGAAAATCTTTACGGTGGACTTTTCCCCATGATTCGGCTTTTACCATAGAAACTTCGCGGGCCGTACCCAAAACCAACGGACCTCGGAAGGGTTGCCACAAAACAGTGACATTTGATTTTCCGAAGGAATGCGGAGCTCGTGGCTGGCTAGTAAAAGGAGAGTGACTGTAGTGAGTGAAAGCTACCAGATCCAGGCAAAACTCGATGTCATGAGCTACTCATCCACATTGGACATCAGGTTCCAGGTTTTATTGTGCTATTAAAGCTGTAACTGCCTTCTTCTCTATTGATCTAATCTTTTTTTCCCTTTGTCCCACCATGTTCATCGAAGTTTAAATCCCATGGGTGGCATCATCATACCACGCTTCGAGATGCCTGCATAGGTATAGGACCAAAACCTCCTCCTCCGAAACGACCCGGACCGCGAATACCCCCAAAGGTCAGCAGTCTACAAGTGTTTGATGTGTGCATGCATCATAATGTATCTAGAACCGCCAGTGGTTGCAATGGGCAGGCTGGTGAGCAGGGCATATCGGTCAACTAAGTACTTACGCTACAGTAGTTTTTCTTCTAGGTGTTCCATCTAACACCCGTTACCCCTTACTCGAACCCTCGATTAGTATGACCGTTTAGGACATACTGGGGGAGAGAATCTCAACGGAGTACAATATCGTACAGTATCTCTATACATCTTCAGGCCTGACCAAGACTAGGTAGGGAAAGCACGCCGTATTGCTCTGGTTTCCGCTAGTGTAGGACCTCCGATCCAAGCCATGCCCCAAACTGTTTATCAGTAATTCTAGGGCAGATCCAGTTCACTTTTGTCTTTAATCCTAGGTTACCTACAGTTATGGTCTTGCTTCGTCATAGATATCCCACCTTCAGTCGGGTTGAGAACAGATATTGCAATGTGCGTAGGTCCCTGTTTTGTTAGCATGTTCGGATCCTCTGTCAAAGTTGTGGATAATGCGGTGTCAACAATAAAGTCGTCAGACGTTCGAATGGCGGTGCATCAATACTTCACCTTTGGTCCTTCTCTAGCGGTAGATAAGCCTCAAAAACGGTTCTTAAACGCGGGTTTGCTTCCGATCAAATGAAAGAGATGCATCATCAAGCCTTATAGATGCGGAAAATCAAGCGAAATATGGACACTAGCAGGTCTCTTCACAATAAGCATTTTGCATGAGGGCAGCATACAGTGGAGTTCGGTGCCGGTTTGAGAGCTTGCTTGTTTGATACCTTGGATGGGGCCTATGCTAGCCCGTCCTGGCGCCACAAGGATACCGTCAAGAAGCCCAAAAGATCACATCAGTTCGTATGTTCCGAAGTCGACACATTCACGCCAGGGTTTGGCCTTTGTCATTAATCAGCAGACATAGAAGGAAGCTGAAATCGGAAACCCCCTAACACACAGCCTAAAAGGTTCAAGCTAGGTAACCAACTTCCTAAGGATGTATCGTATTCAGCTTTAGCTTTCTTCATCAAAGCCTTCTGGTAGTTCCTGCCTTTACTGTATGTACTTCACAAGTTTACTGGTGGCATTCTCATGTTAGGATGATCAGGCTGCGCGAGGAGGATGTGATCGTCGTTTTTGTATGAGGAAGTGGTTGGTAATATAGGTAGGTAGATAGAGGTCGCTTTGACCGGCCGGCATTGCTAATGGACTTTCTCGGTCTTCAGAGAATCACTACCGTGTAGAATTATAAGCCGGTGATGAAGGCCATTTGTTTTCCGGGCGGCAGGCAGCGTAGTAGGGCTACCGTGCCCTTGAGATATTTGTGATTCAAGTATCCTACGAGCCCACGTGGAAATTCTGCCGTTGGTTGTCTCAGTGGGTCTATCTTTGAGTCTTCTGATGGGTCTATCCCGTCTCGAGATGGGCTTCCCCGTATCCACTCACCCCATGCCTGCTTCCGGTTGTTGTGTCAACATTTAGCGGCAGGCATGCTCGTCAGGACTAGAATCGTCTTCTCCCCCTTGGCGTGGTCGAGAGTCTGAGGCGTTTCTAGCCTACATGGTGGACGGGTACCATTTAGGTCCACTTGAGGTACAGTGAAGTGACTGGATACTAGCGATTGAATACCAAAAGCACTTCCTCAGACGTCAAGCAGCTTCCAGAAGTTCTTTGCTGTGACGGGACTGGACTAAAAAATGACGTCGATACCTCCTAGGCAGAAGTGAAGTCTGAGAAGGAGTCACAGCCTCTGGCTTGCCCTGGATTTGCCGGCCCGGAGATTCGCAGGGGACCATTTCACGAGGGCCGCCGTCTCTAGGGGTTCTACGCTTCTGTACGGCGGTTCAAGAAGTGCGGGGAACACTATTGTGAGGCTAAGGAAGTGATCAGCAACTTTAATTTGTGGATACCCTTGACAATGAATAGCCAATGAGATATCCTCTTGTGCGACATTACGGACAGTCCGCGTCAAGGTAATTCCAAAATTTCCATTCACCTGCCTTAGCAGGGACCGTGCCAAATGCCTGCCGTTGCCCGCGCATTTTGTTAGCTGCGCTGAGGTATTGTGCTGGTGACCGTCCCGTGCGTGACGTGCAATTTCTTTCCACCGCGCAACAACTGAGGTGTTTGGACAAGTCCTTGGGGTTGCAAACCTCGAACCAAGCACCCTCTACCAATTCTTTTTTTCCGGCCGCCCAGCCTCAGCATCCAGTCTCGCCGTTTTTCCACCTCACAGACAGACAAGCGACCATGCCGAGGCCTATCGAGGCGGACGTGCACAGCGCGTTCATGGAATTCCGCAACGCAGGTATTTTCACCCTCCCCGTTACGCCATCCTTACCGCCCGCCATCCTTACCGCGATCGTTACCAATCGCGCGTTGTTACATCTTACATTTGATACTATCGGTGACAGTACCATACACCACCTGTCGCCGATGAATGATGATCAAGGCTGACTCGTCTCTGGATGGCTCCACCAAGCAGACGAAAAGTGCATGTCAGTTCAATGCCTCTTCTGTCACCAAGTCCGCGCAAAGAACACCACCAGGCAGAAGCAGCATCTGGCTCAGTGCACCCAGTACCTCGCCCAGCACCCCGAGGCCGCTGCTGCCATCAAGTCTTCTCTGGAGCAGCATGCGCAGAGTCATGATGGCTCCACCGCCCACGTCTCGGGCGGCCACGGCGGCGGCGTCGTCTCTCATGGTCCTGGCAGTCACAGTCACGGTCACGGTCACGGCCACGGTCATGGCCACGGTCCCGGCCAGGACACCGGCGGTAACAACGCCAACCTGACAGCCGGTTCCCAAATGCAGAACCAGCATCCGGCCGCTACTACTGCCGGCGCGTCCAGTGTCTATCCCGAGCCCACGTCCCTGGACCCTCACCAGCACACCAATCTGGGCTTCACCCCCAATGCTCGTATTAACGGCACGAGCACCCCCCATGGCACCGGAACCCCTATTCCCCAGCACATTCGTCCCATGTCTGGTGCATCGAGTGCTCCTCCCGCCAAGCGCCAGAAGACCAAGCAGACCAACCCCAACTTGCCCGAGATTCCTCTTGCAGAGGTGCATGCGGCCTTTGTCGAGTTCCAGGCCAAGGAGGGTGACAAGTGCCTGTCCGCCAAATGCATCTACTGCAACCAAGTGCGTGCGAAGAACACGTCCCGCCAGCGCGAGCATCTGCTCCAGTGTCCTGGCTACCAGGCCACCATGAAGGATAGGATCCCGGCCAACAACCTCCTGCACCACTTCGACGATGACGATGTTGCTGCCTCGCTCGCTCTGCCCACTCCCACTCTTGAGCTTGACTTCCGTATGAGCATCCGGGTCAAGCCCAAGATCAACATTGGCAACGGCACCTATGGCCGTCAGAGCTGGATCTCTTGCATTGGTGGCCAATGGGCTGGTCGTTGGGGCAAGGGCAATGTCCTGGTACGTAATGCCGTCCATCCATTGACTGGCCCAGCTTGGTAATGACATTTCTCATGCTAACATCTCGTGCTCTTTTGCAGGCCAACGGTCAAGATACTCAGACCTCTTTTAAGGAAACAGAGACGAAGATCGATGCCCGTTACCTGATCCAGACCAACGACGACCATCCTGCCCTAATCATCTGTAAGGTCGAGGGCTGGTGGGTCGGCGAGAAGGAGATCATGGAGCGTCTCCAAGACCCGGTTGCCGCAGACAACGTTGCAGCTAACCGCTACAAGCTGCGTGTCACCCTGAAGCTTGAGACGGGCGATGAGCGCTACGAGGAGCTCAACAGCGGCGTCTGGGTCGGCAGTGGCTGCCGCCGCGGCGCCGAGATCGTCTACGACGCCTACCGCGTCAACTGATTGGGACCTGGGAGGACGGAGGAGGACTGACGAAAGGAGTGCGTTGATGTAATGCCCCTACTGCGAAAAAGTCATGATGGATCAACCGAGGCAGGACACTCGGTTTGAACGACTTTGAGCGATCACCTTCTAATGCTTCTGTAAATGTTTATTACGGCGGTATGGCGTCCCGAACAATGTTGCCCACTGAGACCAGAGTCACGCTTGACTATGTTCCTCGGAGGTATATGACAAAGAGGCTGCTTGTCCAGTGACTGGCATGTCCTTGTATACAGATAGTCAAGCCATACCTCTCGAATCACTTCCTTGCGATACCTCTTGATTTTTATTATGTGTGGTTTTGTTCTTTTTGTTCTTTTTTCTTCTTTCTTTTTGCTCTCATGTTTGTCTTTTGTTGTTCTTATCATAATCATCACTTGCTCTTTCTATACCAGTACACTGCCCTTTTCGACCTTTCGATGGCCAGTTGATGGTAAACCCCTGGAACCATAGATCCAGTCAGAGGTATTGGGCTTGCTGTCAGTTCACTGCATATATCAACGGACAGCCTTTGCCGCATCTCTTGCACATGTCACCCACTCGTTTCCGTATCCTCGGGCCAGTGCCTCCAGTACGCTAGCCCGGCTCCAGGGATGGAGGATAACCGATCTCTTGACGACACGGGACCGTCAGCCTGGGAAAGTCGTGCAGACCATGTTACCCTTCTGCACAATTCTTCGGGCTAGATCAGTACCGGTTCCGAATATATTCGGCATATTCCAACCTTGTCGAGTCCGGCACCTTGATCATTGCTCGTTACTTTTTCTCGTTGATCCAGCCATCGTCGGCATTGTCAGCTTTACGGAGCAACATCAGCCCCACCAGGTCTCATCAACTCCCAATCGCAGTACTTACCCTAACTGCCACAATATTGCCCAAAACATCTTACTTAAGCACGATTGTTGAGGTTGTCAGTCGCTGACGAGAGACATCTGGTCATCATATACGGCGGCAAGCTTAACGTCTTCAGCCAGGAAGCGTTACGTTGAAATGTCATTCATATCTTGCCTCGATGTTACCAAACGGCTGGGAGTGGTCAACCTCTTACCATTTGTGACCGTCATCTTCGGTCATCTATGTTACGCCCCATTGAATACCTTTACGTCACTATCGCTTACCGAAATTTACACTCTTTACTATCCAGCATAGAAACAACATATCACCCCGCCGTTGAGGTCGTCAACTTCTCTCTGCTGGGCTACGGCAACGTATTATGGGATCAGGTCACGGGAGACTGATTCCTTGATCTGCTTCTCGTATGGACAATAGATTCTCACTGTAGGCAACGCCTCGTTCGTGGGTGACATCAACTGGCCGGGAATCAGCGAAGGGAAACGCCACAGCGGTAACAATTTGGCGGGAAATGATCTATCCTGGGTGACGCCAGCGCGACTCTACGACTGGCGCTACCGAGCGCTGCATAGCTCAGTTGTAGTCGGCAAGCTGCTCGTCGCCCGTTACAACAGCAACTCACCAAACTACTCCAAGTATGCAGCATGCATGATCGGAGGCCGCCAGGGGTTGAGAGAGATCCAGGACGACGTCAGCAGCTTCGATGGCGCTCTAGTCAGAGCCCCCGCCTGGGACATCCTGCACCTCATACCATGGATCTCGAGATCGCTGCTCAGCAACTGATCACCACTGCAAACGGCAGGCTACGCGCTACGCAGTTATCCATCCTCGTCACCGAGGTCCTGCGACAATATGACGCCCAAGACGGCGTCGAAGACAGCATCATCAGCCAATCCGACCAATACCACTTCGACATGTCCAGGATCATCTGCTTCTGCCCTTCCCACTGCCTCACCCGCACGCAAGCCGACACCGCCGGCAATATATTGGGCGACTACATTGTCAAAAGCGATGGTCGAACCGGACAATTCACAACGGCTTCACCCTCAGCTCGCTTCGAAGAACATTGGTTTGTCTACTTCGACCCTGACGCCTCCCTCGCCAAGTACGAATTCAGCTACGAGCGTTATTTCCTCGACAACTTCACGTCCACCAAAACCCCCCTACACCTGGCAAAAATACCGGGACCAAAGTCGTGCTGGACTCAAAACAGACAAACCCGGGCCAAGCTACCGCCAACGACTTCGATGCCCTTTCATTTCACCGAAATCACGGTGGGGAAAATCATTATGTACTATGGCCGCGCCGACGGCTTGATATGTCCCAAGGCGTTGCTAGCCTACTACAACACTGCCATTTCTTCTATGAACATTTCATCAAAAGAAACTCGCTCTTGGCTCCCCTAGTTCAATGTCCCGGGCATGCAACACCGCTACTTCGGCAACCGATTAACGCTCCTTGGGACTATGGCGTGCCGGGGCAGGCTTTGCAGCTACAGATGCTGCCGGCGTTGGATACGGTGCTGAAAGCGTTTGGAGGATGATTGGTTCCCGGGCACTTGGGCGATGAGAGATATGATGTGCTGGCGGCGTTTGCGAAGTGGATGGAGGAGGGCAGGGAGGTCGAGCAGATGGTTGCTACGGCGTTAAGGAGGATTTGAGCGGGGTTATAGGGGGAGGCCGAATTGTGCGTGGTCTGGACGGGCGGTTTAGGATGAGAGGGGGAATGTGGGTGTGCTTGGGGTTGGCCGGTTTCGATGTCATTATCTTGGGCTATTTAGACGGGTCTGGGTGTTGTGGAGGAAGAAAGTTGTGTTGGTGCTTAAGCTTCTTCGCTGTATATGGCCTCTGATTTTGATTTCGATCCCATGTCTGTCTGGGTCTTCGCCTCCATTCGAAGTCAACCAACAAATGGTCAACATAGCTCCCGATGACTTCCGTCAAGCCAGTCGGGTTCTACGGGATGGACAATACTACCCCTACTAACCAATGTTGCTTGGCGACCTACCTTGACCTCAGCCGCGCCACATACAGACCTCAGTCGATAGCCCAGACAGCGCGCCTATCATATTGTAGGTTTTCTGGTGCGGGGTTTTCCAATCTTGATCATAGGCCAAGTGACTCGAACTCATAAAAGGTTACCTAGTACAACCCAACTTGGTTCGACAGAGCCGCAGACCTGGATAGCACAAACATCTGCGACACCGAACTACTTTGGATTTTAGTTCAGCATCATTGCCAGGAAAACTCAAAGGCAACATAATAAATTCAGGGTTTACAGGCCCGAAACCAGGATACGACATGGAGACCGAAAAGCCAGCACGACATGACTTGATTACGACGATCAATTACTACAAAGACCTAGGAGACGGGAGTGCTCCAACACCGGTCTACGTTGGGAAGTATGGAAACATCTATTGTCTTTGTATATGGCAATTACTCCCCGTGCTCCAGGCCCAGCTTATACAGCTCCAATCCCAGAGGGGGTCATCACTCAGCAGCAACATTTGCCTAGGAAAACACGCATGCTGGGGACAACCTACAACCTTCCTGAGCCTACCCTTTTTGTCCTATCTCACTTCATGGCAATCACGTCATGAACCTCTATCCAGCCAAAGCCAAGATTATCCGCTTCCCACGTCCATGTTAAGTGCTAACGATTAACCTCACTCCTTCTTGCCCTCTGATTAGGGACCAAGTCACTAACAAGCGACTCATGCTGCCTGTTACCACCACCGTTACCGACGTGACGGGGGATGACGTTGAGAAGAGCTTCACGCTTGATCAAAACGGGTTTCAGTACCTGAAGCACGTTAGCGAGTTGGCGCGAGAGGAATTTGCGGACGAGGAGAAAATCCAAAGGGAGTATTTCGCCGAGTGTGAGGGGTTTCTGAAGGAGGTGTAAGTGCAAGCTTCCTTCTTTTTGGCCCTGCTACATGTACTTGTCTGGATGGAGTTCGCGTTCCCTAGAGGTAGGTACTCTGATGGTTAGAGGTTAGGTATTGTTCACATGACTACAACATCCACTCTACCTACATACAGACCCCATGATGTTCAGCTATCAGCCTCAAGGGGGGAGCCTTTGCGAGCGCCGGACCGCTAGCCGACATGCACACGGTTATAGACAACATCTGGCACGCATGCAACGTGTCTGCACTGACTACACCCCACGCAACCAGGCACTCTGCGAGCAGGCTCGGCAGGGGATTATGCAGGGACAAGAACTCATTAAACTCCACTCCTCAGTTGTTCTTACCCCAACTTTCTAATTCCAAAAATAAACATGAAAACACCAAAAAACAAAGTTCTAGACTCCCAAGATCTGCGCCTGTGCAGCTTACTTACCTCCAACGTGTCTTTTCTCTTCCTGTACCCCCCCTTCTCCCCTTGATTTTTCAGCTTGACACCCTTGATTGTCAGTTACCCCCCGAGATATTACTGCCGAGTAATAGCAGCACACGAACTAACCAAATATCCCCTTCTTCGGGCCCCCAAAACCAACAGCACCGGTGCATCCCGCGTCTTCGCCTTTGACCATCGGGTCCGCCGCGGCCCTTCCGACTGGCATGAGATTCCCGTGGACAACGTGCGGCACCGGGGCCCGCTGCACCGCGCACACGTGGACCAGTCATACGCCGGAGCGGAGATGGTGTTGCGGGAGAAGATACCCAATGCGGACGAAGTGGGAAGACTGATGCAGAGAAGATGGGGAATTGTTAATGTAGGTTGACCAGTTTCTCTTCCGTTTATCTCCTTTGACGGTTCATGGTCACTACCTACTGCCTGATGGAACTGTAATGAAGGCATGGATGGGTTCAGTAGGGCCCTTCACCTCAGAGACAGCTTTGGTTGCGCTAATGTAGGTACCTCCAGGCTGAACTCCAAGTTGCACAACACACCGGAGACACTTCCGCTACTTGTTGATAAGTCGACAACGTCGTCGGAAATATACCTCCTCCTTCATTTCACCCGACCACATCATGAAGGATCAAATGCACATGCAGCTCTCTAACACATCATAGATCTGGCGGCCCATCAAGCCCATCCACAAAGACCCTCTAGCCCTCTGCGACGCCCGCACCGTGCTCGATGCCGACCTCGTTCCGGCATCTATCATTCTCAAAGGCGGACAGCGCAGGGAGTCTTGGACGGTCAAGGCCAACCTTGAACATCGGTGGTACTTCAAGTACCAACAGCAGCCGGACGAGGTGGTGCTGATCAAGTGCTTTGATAGCGACAGTTCCCCGGGGATGGCGAGGAGGGCACCGCATTGCGCCGTTGAGGATCCAGATGCTAGAGAGAAGGATTGGAGGGAGAGCGTTGAAGTTCGGTGTCTCGTTTTCTGGTGAAAGAACTCGGCCATGTCGCCGTAGAGCTCCATCGACATGTTAATGGCCGAAATGTTGACGTCTATCGCCGTGCCAAGAGGAGCAAAGCGGCCACAAATGGTGTCACCTTCTGGGGGCATGGATTAGAAGAAGAGAGCCCTTCGTGGATAACTGCCTGTAGGCTATGTGGGCTTTTTGGGGGGTCACATCGTATAATAACCCCTAGCTGACGTACCTGCAGATACGGAAAGGTCCTGGCCTCCTCGTATTTGACTGGACCTAATTGGAAGCCTTGCTCTCTCGTGTGGCCCTAGACGACTTCGTGCTCGATTTCAGCCCATGTCAGGCCATTCATGTTCCCTGAGGAAGACAGCCTTGATTGTCGTCGGTCTGATCACGAAATAGGACCGTCATATCGATCGAAAACCCCATTAATACCAATTCGCATCTCCAAACCCTGCAAGAAGCCAAACACGCCCTTCTCTTTCTTCTTCTTCTCGCCAAACCCCAGCTTGGTCGATAATTGCGTCCATACCTCTAGTTAGTCAGATACGAGCACCAATCTGCCAGGTCCGCCCATTTTGCTCCATGCTTGCTACCAGAGGTATTCATACTCACTAACATACCGCTCCTTCACAGACCTCACGGACTCCTCCACAATCTCCTCCACCCGCTCCTCCACCCCATGCACCTCCCTCTCTCCATACGCGTCCATCACCCTTGCCTTCATCTTGTCGTGTCTCGCGCCCTCCAGGGATCGCGGTCGTGCGTCGGCCGGGTAGTATTGATGCGCTTGAACACCTCGAGATTGTTGGCTAGGACATAGAGGTAGTTGGCCGCGATGCGGATGGGAGTGGTATGTAGAAGGGGTTGAGTGTGCTGGCGAAGTGTTGCCGGCGAGGGGCAGGTACGAAAAACGGGCGGAGAAGGGGCTAGGGACCGGATGTGTCGGATGTGAGGGCGGAAAAGGGAGAAGGGGGAGGTGAGGGTTGTAGTGGACTGGATGGTGAAGGCGAGGAGGAATATGGAGAGGAGGGTGGAGGTTGAGGTGCCCCGTGAAAGAGGGAGGAAGTGAGACTGGTGGTGCAGTTCATGTTGGTGACTGGAGGAATGTCATGTAGGTGCGATGATGCCATGTGATGGTTTTGGCTTGGTGGTTTCCATTTATTCCAGTCGGCCAAATCACCCTTGCCGGTGTAAATGGGTACCCGGGAATGAGTAGAGGCAGTGAGGAAAGAGGCTCCCTGTGTGCTCATCTATGGTACTGTTCCCATCCTTTTGAGATTCGCAAACAACCCTCTTTCAACTGCGACTCCAGGGCTGGAAAAGAAGCGTAAAGCAACTTCTCTTATCGTTTTGTCAGCCAGAACTGTTCAATATCATTTCACTTTGCTGCAATCATGATTCTCGGTGCAACCGCAACCAAGATCAGGCGCGTAGCCGAACCAAGGTTTGTGCCCTGGTGGCGTTAGGAGTAACACAAAAACCAAACTTCCCTAATACACCCTCCATCACCGTACTCCCGTCTCCAAGAAGGTGTGCCGAGTGAACGGCTACCGAGCAAGTCCACGCGGGAGACCAACAAGCGCACCGGGTTCGACCTGAACTTCCTCCACGGAAAGTTCATTGCATTGGTACTCTGGTACTGTACCCTCGTGCCTTCCAAACACGGGATGTTCATGTTTGCCACCAGCGATTTCCGCCAGCACCCTCCCAGAGTTTGGGTATTGCTACAACAGCAACTACGATATACACAAATCAACGAGGAGAAGGGAGCGGTCTACTGCCGATTTGTCTTTGTACGCTAAGTCCAAATTATGTAGTGTAGCCCCAATCCAAAAGGGGGTTATTGGTTGATTGTCACATTCGCCTGGCAACGCACGCATGCGCACTAATAATAACCTACAGCTTCCCCTCAGCCTACATAGCATTTATCACTTTTCTTTTTCACTTTTTTGTGACACCGGTGATTCCTCCGCGGCCGCCGCTCCGCTCATCCAGTCAGGCATCGCTCCACTTCCCATTTCAGTGTCGCAATACCGGGAATAACGTGTTCCCCTGAGCCAAAACCTACCTTGAGCCCGACCTCGAAGCCAAGAGCTGCCGACACGACACACGACACCATGTCGCATCAGGTTCTCTCGATTGGGATCATCTTTACGGGATTTCAGGCAAGTCCCATTATCGGCATTAGGTCTGTGCTTGCCAAATTCCCATCTTGCCCTGCTCGAATACCCTGTCGTGCCTGAAGTGAAATCTTCGCGGACTCAACCACAGTCCGCGCGTCCTGCGGAGGGAGGCTGGAGACTGCCGCCGCATCTGCGTTGTGAGCTGGCCGGTCGGGGATGAACAACCGTCCCGACCGGCATTAAGATAACCCCACGCCCACTCACACTTCACGAGCCACGCCAAACCAAAGAAAGCAAGGGTAGGGGATTCACCAGGACCGGGCAGGGAGGGGTTATCGGGGGGAAGGACACCATTCCCGCTTCCCGCACTCCATTCATCATCACTGCAGTGAGACATTGACAACAACAAACGACGAACGAGTCAACGTCGACGACATCATTCCACCATTTCCAATACATGCTAGCGTGCCAACCTACCGGATCCTCGATAAAAGATAAAAAAACCGATAGTTCAACGTCGGCGACGATCAATCGTTCGATTTTTTCCATTTTTCCGAAATTGTTTCGGGCAGCACGCTGAAGTAATCAATCGTCGAGTTTGGCAGGTGTGTGTATCATCTTGCTTTTGGCTTCCATCAACCTTCATACCATAGTACAGTACCTACCTAGACTAGCTCTCTACACTACACCTTTTACAGACGCGCTCTCTCTGTCTCCAGCAACCCCAAAAATCACAGGGAGGGGGGGTTTGCTGAAAGTAATGTCGTGCACAAACCACATCCCATCCAACCCGCCCAAAAAAAGCAAATTTGCTCCTGTTTCAGACCCCCTTTTTCCCATTTGACCATACAAGTTAACAGCGAACAAAATCTTTCTATCCGGTGTTGCGATTTGCAAGTTTGCGCTTAGAAAATGAAAACACTTTATACCTAGTTTTCCGTGATATCGATACTGTTGCTGTTACAGGGGCCGGGCGGGGGGGTTCGCTCAATACTGGGGATTGCTGGAACAGGGAGTCATAACTGTAGCTTCCTTGTAAAACCTTTCTTCTGTTCCTTCCCTCTTCTTTTTCCTTCCCTTCTCTTCCGCTTCCATGCGCGAACTGGACTTGGCTAAGACACGAAGAACGCCAGCATGTGATTGATTGAAAATGCCAGAATAGCGATGATCATCAGACGGATGGATGGATGGATAGATGGATGGATGGATGATTGACAATAAGCGAGACCACTGTGGTTGACGGGTAACACAAGCATACTAGGTAGGTAGGTACAGTAGGTACTCGGGCAACACTTTTCACAAGTCGAGCAGATACCGAATCAATCCACCCCCTTCTCCCCGAGGAAAAAAAGGAAAGAAAAGAAAAAAGAAAATCAATAGTGCTTACGAGCAGTTGTAGATCACTGTGGGTAAGCATATACTGCGTAGCGAATTCCCGATCTGAAATTCGAAACGAGAAGTTGCGGTTGGGTGTGTAGGTTAGACCCGACGTTGAGGTTGGTGGTTTCCATAGTGTTCGTGGGCAGGATCCAGGACAGTGGAAATCCAGGAACCACTGACTGGCGGGGGAGGGGGTTTATTGTACACTGCACACTATACTAGACGACTAATGCCTGGCAACCAACACTGCGAATTGCGTAGAGGTAGTGTACACTACCACCACTCTACGCAGTACATACATAGTTCGGGGGATAAACAACTGCATAGGTTCTCTGGGAATGGCATCACACCACGTTCCAACACGGATTCCATGGAGTATGAAACACGGTCTAAATGTCTCCGTAATTAGACAGACAGACAGACAGACAGCCTGCCTGAATGTTGAGGTTGAGTTGAATGGAATTTTTTTAGTTGGTTACAAATGAGTGACGGATACTACCTAGGTAAGGTAGGTAGGTTTGGCCGGCCCTGGAGATATCTTTTTGGTTTTGGACAGTGTAAATCCGGTGACATGGATTACTTAGGTAGTGTCTCACTCTCTCTCTCTCTCTCTTTGAGCCGCCAATTTTACACGTTGACCTACTACAGTAAAGTCCCCTGTTAATGCAACTAAAGCCGGCAGTCTAGATTTCTTAGCAAAAGGGGGGGTTTTGCAAAAGAGGGAGCTGGTGCACAGACCAATACAGGCTGTGGGGCTACTGAATCACGCCGCCGGCCACCCTAAAAGGTGGGTCACTTAGACCTGCCGTACCGCCGGTATTGGTCCCGCCCACCAAAATTAGACCCCTGTTAATGCAAATCCCAGCCTTCAGCATTGCAAATAGCAGTTAGCAGTCTTTACCACCAGAGGGAATGCGGGCAGTCGAAATCCTTAGCAAAAGGGGGGGTTTTAGCAAAAGGGGGGGGTTGCATTAACAGGGGACTTTACTGTATGTACATAACGAACCCGCGGCCGGCAAACTGAACCCCAGCCCAGCCTCGAGCCATCAGCCAACCAACCAACCAGCCATTGCTTCGGATAGGGGCACCTATGAGGGAACAGCAGTAGGCCCGGCCGGACTAGCATCAGGGCAGGCAGGCATTCCAAAGACAGCATGGACCACGGGCAACCAAGACACGGCTGCGACGTGGCACCCGGAAAGAGACATTTGCCATTGGGCGATTATTGATCACCATGGAACCTAGTAGAGGTAGTGTAAGAACGGCCGGGGACCCTCAGCAATAAGTAACTGTAATTACCTAGGTACTGTTTCTTTGCACTGTACCATATGGAACGAATAGAGGTGATCGTAACCCGCTTTACCAAGTGGGGCCTAGTAAAGTAGTGGCCGTATTCTTTAGGTGGGTTCAGCGGTCTAACGGCCCGGGACTGGCTCACAAATGCCCGTCCCACTTGATTCCCGGGGGATGCACGGACCATTGTTTTAGCGGTACGTAATTTCTGAAAATGTGAGGAATAAGTGTAAGGAAAAAAAAGAATCAAAGGCCGTGATTTCCGCTTCTACAGATCACCATCAACGGCTATCGTGATTTCGTCTCCATCATAGACGTAGTGTGTGCAGAGGTATGGAGATGTCGTAAACGCGATCTACTCAACTGTTGAACACTTGTTTTAATAAGCAGTCAGTCATGAACGGCCCTGATATGTAATAGGACGCGCTCCTCACCCTCCTCACCTCCGGACGGAAATTATAAACAGACAATATCCTGACCTTGAAGCACAATCAGATTGACCCCTGGGTGCGCCGCAAGGCAGCGCAGCCTAGCGGTCCGTCCTGATAGGACTCGAGCGAGCCCATTCCCGACTCAGCAAAACAACAACTTAGTCAACCACGTCGGGTGTGCGTGCGCGGTGCGCTGTTCACCCTGTTGACCACGTCCGTCTCGCCAAAAATTTCGTCTTCATAAAGAACGGATCTGGCTCAATTTCAGCATCCTTCCTTCCAATAATCCCACACGAGTGAGACCGATGAGGCCGTTGGAGATGATTATGTGTCACGCCCCACGATTTGTCCATCACCGAACCCACCACAAACCACGGCCGGTCTATTCCCTTTCCCGCCCCGGACGTTTAGGTCATACCCAACCCCTGATGTCCCCGTTTTCCAACGCCATATGTAATGATGAGCCCTGCTCTGTGGGCACAAAGCGGGACCAGCCG